ATCTTTTTCAATTTAAATCGTTTCACCGACACTTTTCAAACCGGTTTCAATGATACTTTCTAACGTATTATACTTTCGCATATAAAACAAGGCAATCAGATTGAGTTTTATAGTTTACACTTAAATTTTACGCTTTTCGTATTTAAATATTTATACTCGGCTGAATCACCTCGTGTGTCTGTGTATATGTGTATATAATATACATATGTAATACATAAATCGTAAATATGGGATCACTTTCGTTACTTTCATCAGTTTCTTTCTCCGTTTCTCGTTCTCTTTCGCTTTTTATTCCTTTTTCTTTTTTTTTTTTTTTTCTTATCATATCTTATCTTCTTATACCTTCTCACAAAGGATCAAAGACTCTTGGTAAGAAGTTTGTTATTCAATTCAATCTGAATCTAAGTAATCCTCTTCTTCTTACCACGAGCACCTTGAATTAATTTTCAACCACCGTTAGAAACAATACGAAACGAATCGGAACATTTTTTTTTTTTTTTTCTTTAATAACGATAATCGTCTCTCGAGACGATCGGAAATCTTATTTCCGATCGATTTATGGTCGTTCGTTCGCACCGTTCTCGCGTTTTTACTTTACTTTCATGCTTTTACTCATCCATCTATATATAAGTACTTACACTCGCGCGCACAAACAAACGAACGAACGAACGAACGAACAAGCACGCACATACGCACATTTATCTTTTATCGTTTATTTATTATTATCATAATATCTTCCTTTCTTTGAAGATGGATATTTTATAGATTTTAAACGGCGCGAACGATTTATCTTAACGAAACTAAGCCAAATAGTTATTAAGTTAGAAAACATGGAGGTCGACGAAGATAAGGTAAGTCGAATCGCGGCCCCTTTTTTACCTTTTTTTTTTTTCCCCCTTTTTTTCTCGATCCTTTTTTGCTCGTTACTCTTCGATAAATACTCTCCGATTGATCGGGAATGCGAACGATCGTCGGTTCATTCTAGCCGTTCATCTAAAACCGATAATTCGTTCCGCTTTGCCACCGATCGGGAATAAGAACGCGTCGATTCTTATCTTATCGAATATCGAGATCGAGCTAATTGGAGTAGTCGTGTTCCGACAAGACGAAATACGCACAAAACGCTACGTATACCATGACATATCACGACGATGGTAACACGATAAACGCGGTCAGATATAGAAGATTTGATCGAACCGTTCGTAAAACGAGAGGAGCTGGACAGAAAGAAGAAAAGAAGTAAGGAAGGAAGGAAGGAAGGAAGGAAGGAAGGAAGGAAGGAAGGAAGGAAGGAAGTAAGAAAGGACGGAAGAAAAAGAGAGCTAGATGTTTTTAAGGACAACCGCATTCGTCGACCACCATCTTGGGTAAATCTCTCTTGATGATGTTGGAATCAGGACCATAGTAGATCAACGACATTGGGGAAAACTTGAGAGGAGCGCAACAAGGCTGCATACCGGCCAGTCGATCCATCTTCCTGTATTCCTCGATCACGTGGGTGTAGTAATTGAGGAAAGTGTCCGGCGTTCTGTGGCCAGCCGCGCAATCTCCCCTGCAGTAATTCGCGTAATACCTATGCATAATCGAATAATTATCGGATTATTCTCCGTGTTGTCGCAAAGTCGAAGGAAAGGATTCGAGGAGGAGAGAGAGAGAGAGGAGGAGGAGAAGGAGGTAACTGGCGTGCAAACTGGCGTGCAAATTGGCATGTGCGTGCTTCACCGCGCGAACAACGGTTCGTTAAGCTCGGGACAATTCCGTTTGCGATAATTGGTGGTAAGCGAAGGGGGTTAGGTTTTTTTTCCGTTACACTTGGAAGCGACACTTGGATTTCACTCGGGATACCGTAGGAATGAGCGGAGCGCGTCACGCTCTACACCCGTACGGGATATGTTTGCGGGCGGAATTTCTCCCGCGCCTCCTTACCCTTGGGGTGCGATTATCCAATCGTCCCAACCGAGTTGAGAAAAGTTGACGTAGAACCTTTGTTTACAGCATTGGCCCTTTATAGCGCCGCTACATTCGATCGCCCGTCTTCTAACCCGTTTCACAGCCGCCGGATCCGTACGTACGACGAGGAAAGGCCTATCCGGATCTTGAGTACCTGGAAAACGTAGTAGTTTCGCACGTGTCGATGAATCGTGCCGATCGACCAATCGTGTTGCCTGCCCGAGATAAACGAGATGACGATGATATAGTAGTCGAATGATATATATACATATATATATACCTTTGCCGTTTAAAGATGGCGATTCGATCACGCGCGGGGAGTGCCCGTCGAACGTGGATACGTAGACGTGCGAGCCACATCCGGTACAATCGACGAGCAACGTCAATTTATCCCTCGCGGTATCCCGATTCGTGGTGTACCAACTGTTCACAACTTTGGTAACGTCGAATTTCAGCCAACCCAATTGTCCGACGTTCACCCCAAGGGACGTGACCATTTCCAGGTATTGGCCGAGTTCCTGTGAAATTTCCACCACTTTTGTTTCACCACCACCACCACCACCACCACCACGTTTTTCATCGTTTAGCATCGTTTCTCGCGAAAAAAGCGAAACGACCTTTGGAATCTCTCCTCCTCCCCACTCCCCCCTCTTAGCTCTCTCCATCGCCTATCCTAGATTGGTGTTACGAGAAGCTCCCCTGAATCGGCTGAAACCTGACAACCGTACAACCTACCGGCAAGTAATATTGGACGAAAGATCGGTAAAACGACTTAAGATCGCGATGCGTTTATAATGCGATTAAATTTATACGAGTCGGGCGAAAGTGTTCTTCTCCTTGTTATTATTATTATTATTATTATTATTATTCCGTTATTATCTGTTACGATATACAATTATTGCGAAAAAAAGAAGATTGATCAATGTTACCTTTCCACGCAAATGCGTCGTATTGCCGCAACGTACTCTGAACACCCACAGAGTAATATTTCTCTGATTAGTTTGACTCTGTCGATTACGTTGATAATGATGACCGTGCCTGAATTCGACTCTCGTCCAAAGCGTTGCTCTCTTGATCCTGAGCGGTTCCAAGGCGGGCTCTCCGCTCGACATTGGGAATTCTAGTAACGGTTGTCCATTCAGCGTGCGTCCTACGAACAACAAGCATATTTCTCTCGTGAAAAAGAGAACAACGTCTCCCTCGCATCTCCTACGTCTCCCTGCGTTTCATTATTGCCCATCTTTTCATCTTCTCCTCTTTTCCCGTCACTTTTCCACGTTTATGTCGTAATCTTCGGCTTCGAAACATCTTTCATCGAACCGTCGCTCGAGCCCGTCGTTCTCGTCTTTCGCTTCCGAGTGAGTTTTTTCCACCAAAGAAACGATCGAGCGTTTATCGAAAATTAAAAAAGAAAAGAAAAGAAAAGAAAAACAGAGAAAAAAGTTAATACCTAGATGAGATGAGATGGGGCGGGGGAAGGAGAGAGAGAGAGAGAGAGATCGTAATGCAACGCGGCGCGGCACGGCGCGGCGCGGCGACTCGCAAAGCTCGTGACGATACCGAGGACAATGTGTTGGTTGGAGACACAGGGATTCGCGTAGACACGGGAAATTACGACGATGAAATAGAAGAGGAGTTATTGGTGTAGAAACGTAACAAGAGATACATCGAAGCTATCGAGTAATACACGCGTAGAGGAGAACACGAACGAGTTAACGCACACGGATCTCTAAATATCCGTATCGATGTGTGCGCATACTGTGAAAGCAACGTGGCTTCATCCCTTAACGGTTTAGTGAGTCACGGATCGAGAGCCGTTGGAGAGACGAGGATAAGCACGGGGTGTCTGCCACCCGTCTGCCTTCCTCCTTCCATTCCCCGCAACCTCCCTCTTTCACCACTTTATCCCTTTCATTTCGTTCCTTATCCATCTCTCTCTTTCTCTCTCCCTCTCCCTCCGTCCATCTCCTCCCTCCCTCCTCCTCCTCTCTCTCTCTCTCTCTCTCTCTCTCTCTCTCTCTCTCTCTCTCTCTCTCTCTCTCTCTCTCTC